TAGTAGACGCGGATAGAAGATCAGACAGTCTTGCCTAAGTAGTAGGGGCAACTTTTAATTGCAGATCCGCCAGAAATCAGGCGAAAGGCTAAATGTATGTTTCGGACTTCAGTAAAGAAAAAGTCATTCTCAGATATTTATATACGTATGAACATAAAACATACCAGTTTTTAAACTGCTGGAAGTGTGGCTTTCTGTAATTAAATTCATAGTGCATTAATCAACTCCCATTGGCACTAAAATTGACAGGCTTCTTCGTAAACAAAGCTAAGGACAATTTCACTAACGTGTTGGAATGTGCATGTAAGGAACCCGGTCATGAGTGTCCATATTGGTTTTCTGGGTAGTAATGTTGTGTGTAGTTGTAGGTGGATATGGACGTTTCGGAGGAACATAAGCCTACTGCTATAATTTTTAGCACGGAAGACCAACACCCGTGAGAATATCAAATCTCAACTCCGTTACAAGGAAGATAGCAGACGTTTCACAGCTTTGGTTCCTAGGATAATTTCATCTCATTATGAAATTGTAGTTGAAGAAAATATATTTTTTTATAATTTACTCAAAATACTTCGGAATTTTTATGGCATAACTTAATTACCCGTTTTAATACGGTGATACTTGAATCCATTTTACCGTTGCAAAGGCCGAGAAAAAGCATAGAGTGTCCTGCGCGAACGCGTAGCTTATCTGTTTACATTACTGGCTACAGACATTTGCGTTTCGCACGGAAGATCCTTCGTGTGTATAGGACAGGAAATGAGGGAGACGAGATGTCCTTAGTTTACTGCAGCCTTTTGCGTAGTTCGTCGGTCAAGGTTGGAATCGACATGTGGACAGACAGACAAACATTGCTTCACTGCACAAGAATGTTCCAATGACACACGCATTAAGGTATTCTTTTATTTGCAACTTAAGATACCAGATAATGGATTCTTTTACTTGTAGCGTAAAGAAAATACCACCATAAAACAATTCATAATCTTCGTTCGCCACTACATGTACGGAATACTTGGTAAGGCGTAGTTAAGTAACAGAATATAACAAAGAAGCAATGTTCTGTACCGTGTAGGTTTATAAATCCCACATGCACTGCCCTTGGCGCGAACCCGGGCCTCCGGGTTGATAAGCAACTAACTGCATGTGGCGCTGTCAAATTGCACTCTTTCTTCATTTTAAGTCTAAATATTTTCCTAAGCACTTTGCTTTTAAAAGCTTAAGCCTTGTTCTTCCCGCAAAATACGTCTTGTTCTCTTACAGTTTTATAAAACAGACTTAATGATAAGGGGTATTTAACCGAAAAGAGCAAGCATTTCCTTTAATTTATTCTGCTTTCATTAGGAACCTTTTTCTGTTTGTTATTGTTGTTGCTTCTAGATACTTAAATACTTAGAAACATTTACCTCAAGATGTTTTCTTAATTTCCCATTCATTTAGCGTACGTGAATTGTTACCACAGAGGATCATTTCCTTCATATGCGGCCCTTTCATCTCTAGCTTCATAATGATTACAGTTTGTAAGGTTTAATTATTTAAACCCATAAAAGTAATTGCATCAAATAGATGCCTCTTTCGTGTTTTGTGAAATTACCACTTCCTCTGTGTTTGTAACCAACACAAACACTCAATGTTTGTCTTTCATTTGAGGGGATGGCGAGATGTTAATGGTTAATTTCTAGTACAGTTTGTTTCATAAGTTTTTGACATTCAGTTTCAGATACCTACTTGATTTTCTGTTGCTTGGCTTTGTATAATTAGCCAACTGACTTCTTGCTGTATGTATGTGCGTTTGAATGAAGTAACTCGTTTCTTTTTAACATATTTTTACACGACGTATATAAATATAGGGGCCAAATGGAAATTGAGCGAGCTAAATCATTTGTGATTTTACCCGATTCCAGTTTACATTGATACCAAATATTTTCGTCAGATTTTTGTAGTTTTACACAGACTCTACAGGCGAGTACCAGGATGATACCATAATAAAGACCACCACATTTTCCGTCTAAATGATGACACCGTAATTGGCCGTATTCTGCTATGTTTTAGATAAATTTGCATGTATTTATCTCTCTTCGGTCTAACACTTAGGTCTCACTGAACCACAGCTTCCGACTTCTCATCCGCATGTAACACCGTTAAGTACCGTTGAATGGTAGGTGTAATATCAGAACGTCGAATCGGGAGGTATTTGTAAGTAAGCTGTCATATCCCGTTTTAAATAATATGCCCAGAATTTTTCGTGGATGGTCAACGAAAATGCAAGAATTCTGTCATTACATCCGATTTCCCTGCCCGGTTCTCTGTCTTGGGGGAGAGGGTAGGCTCACACATGTACTAAACTACTTTGGTGCGGTAATATTAAGATATATCCGAGAAAATGTGGTTGTGAACATTTATAGATTCGTTATAGTCGGTTCAGTGACTAGTTTTCATAAAAGCAGTAGCTAACCCTTTCAGGTTTAATAAAATCAGGAACTTCCTTGACCAAGTGAATAACATAATCTCTTAAAGGATGATCTTCTATGGACTTTGTAAATATTTTGCGTGTGTGCGTATTAGTTTATGACAGACGTTTTTAGCTTCTAATTTTTCTTTCTCTTTATCAGTTGTGTCTTGAAGTCGTCGACCTCTGTACACTTGAACTTGACAGATGTTGTATTGATCGTATAACTTAATCAGGGTTAATCGTTCGTTAATGGCTTTCTGCATTCCATTGGTCTTCGTTGTTTTTTTTATCTCCATTGAAATAATTGTAGCTGTCAAGGTTTTATATGGGCTACAGCAAGTTCTGATGCTGCTGGCTTCAGACCGTGTCTCTTTCCTGACCTATCCAGATGATATTTGGTTCGATCTGTTCCCTGCTGGGGGCGGTCAGGACGCGACTTATCGTGGAGTGATTAACGCCAACGTACAACCTATAAATAAGTTTTTACGTATCTGACGTAGAGATTGAGACAATTGTCACATCGTGGGATGAGTTTTTTCCCCATCTTGTGCACCCATAAGTCAATATCCAGTTTTTTAAACTTAGCACCGAAAACAGATGATTCACCTTTCAGATATAAAACTGATAATACACGAAAAAATTAGCGAAGAGGACAGGAGAGGTCGTGGAAAAGGTGATCTTGAAACACGATAAATTGTTTTAAATGTTTTAAACGAGGAATGGATGGACAGGACAAGGTGCGGACTAGAATAAGAGATATGGTCACAAAGGCTGTTAAACACTCGCTATAATAAAACGAGGTGTGTCTTACATTTGAGAAAATATGGATTATGAATTTTACTATTGCTAAATTTAAATTGACGTTTCTGCAGGAATGTTTCTCACTATGGTCGTACGTAACGGAAAACGAACATTTCCGTACCGACATCATCATTAGACATGGAAACGGAAATAAGCCCATATGATTTGATCGCAGTCATGAAGGGTTTAAGTTTGTTTAGTCTTGGACGTTCTGGCCCTATGGGGGCAGTTGCAACGAGGAAACGCCTTTGGGAAAGTTAATAGTTTGAAGCCAAATGAGTGACACAAAAGAGGAATTGGAAGGGGCTGTGAGGGTTCGCAGGCATTACCAGCTTGTCCTGGTAAAGTAGGATGGTGAGAAGATCAGGTGGAGACATTAGAAGGATGAAAAAGTGTAGTCAGAAGAAAAACGATGTACAGTTAGGCAAGACTAGTTAGTTGTCCTGTTTAAGAAATTAATTGTTCTCTATGCGAATCGTATGAAACCCATAAAATAATTCTGTAGACAAAATGCAGAGATGTTGATTATAAAACTGTGTTACCACTGGGTTTTAAAGGCTTAATCAGTGAGGAAACACTTCGTGGGCGGATCCCACCTTACTCCTGATGACAGTACTGTAATACAGTTACGCCTGAAACAGCTGGAGCCCCAGAAGCAAGCATGCCAACCGTATCCACAGCGAGCATTATCATTACATTGTCTGAGTAGTGTTTGACATGACAAAATGCATAGATGTTCATTATAAAACCATGTGTTACCGCTGGGTTTTAAAGGCTTAATCAGTGAGGAAGCACTTCGTGGGCGGATCCCACCTTACTCCTGATGACAGTACTGTAATACAGTTACGCCTGAAACAGCTGGAGCCCCGGAAGCAAGCATGCCAACCGTATCCACAGCGAGCATTATCATTACATTGTCTGAGTAGTGTTTGACACGGAGAGAATTGCATTAGTACCGCCAAGGTAAAAACACCTCACGTACCAGTGATGTTGTGGTGATTGAAAGGAAGTGGGGTGGAGCAACGGTTGGTAAAATTATGACTTCGAATTTGAGAGAAATAAACCACTTGGTTGCTCTAGGCATAGATGGAAAGATGTAATGGTCATAACGTCTCTGTTGTGCCATGGGGAAGTGGAGTTATAGCTCCACGCTCTCTTAACCTTGGCACTAGACAGAAGAAAGTGGTTAGCCTTAGTCTGTCCGCTTCACCCCGAGGAAATAATGCTATCTGCTTGAAATATCAGGTTCTCACGGCAGTGAGTATGGAGATGACTGTCTTCCGGAACGTTGCCCTGTAAGTCTTAGAAATTGCCCTGATGATGGATGCAGTAGGTCCGAAAGTCAGAGTTCTCTATCCAGGGGACTGTCGGGTTTCTGCGGTCCAAAACTCTAGCATTGCTGTTTATTACATAATTTCGTAACAACAGATTTGTTCTGAAATAAATGAAAATTAGGTCAGTCAGGTGCCCATATGCAGAATCTCAAAGCGTTGATAAAAATGCGGTAAAATTTTCCACTCCTGTTGCATTAACCCGTTGAACAACGTATGGCATAGATCAGTGGTATTCAACCTTTTTCATTCGCGTACCCCCAATTATAATTTCTCTTCAACTTTGTACCTCAAAAGTTGTTGGTGTATAATTCAAGTTACACATAGTATATAAACTACATCTAAAATAAATTAAATAAATTGCATTATTGATTATTCAGTGTTTATCATAAAATAATATATATATTTTTTTTAAAATTTCACGTACCCCAGGTTAAATACCACTGGCATAGACGATGCGATCTCGGTGTTCCAGTTCCCATTATGAATCCACCCATTTTTATCTCCTCACAGGATTGCGTGATTTTTAAAAATGTCATATCCAGGTATTTTTCCTCTTTTCCCGACGTTCTGTACTGCACAGCGTGACCCAGTTCGTTAATGGCGTACAAATAAGAATGGCGTAGCGCTTGACAGCCACTGGGTAATGATAGGACAACACAGGAGGTAAGAATAGATGCGAGGGTCATAAAGAGCAGTCTTCTACACCCGGCACGAATCGGCGAGGGCTGGAAAGTTCTTGGGTGTGGTGGAAAAATCACTCAGGCTTCCTGGTGCACTCGAAGTACAAACGAACAAATGAAACAAGAGGCTGAATTAATGATCGGTAGCTGATGTCATTCATTACAGGGAGGTTCTGAATTTGCTACCAGGTGTTTAAACATTCATTTCCTCTTGGCGTTTGTTCAGCACAGTTTCCTGAAACGATACCAGACGATAGTGTAATGGGAACGATTTAGTGTTGTATTCAGGAGGTACTTGGTTCGTCTCTCTAGTGGGATAACATTCTTGGTGAGGAGGTCTGTGGTTATACACAGTCCAGTGACGTGCTTGTTTCTGAGACACTGCGGTGATTATGTAGATTATGGTATTCTGGAATGTGATGCTGTGTAAGTTTGGGTCGGTGGTTACCAGCGTGTCGGAGGAACATACTGCCTAAATCTTCAGGGAGAGTAACAACCTCAGAATACACAGTCTATATGAGACTGTCCTTGAATAGGCCTAATTTATTGTAATTTTGAAGTTTATTCCTTAGAGCGCCTGATTTGTATCCTTATGTAACCACGTTGTGACATTGGTGGCAGTGTATGGTAATGTATGGACCAGCGGGTTTCAACCCGTGTGTTAATGTAGGCAGTATCTGGATTAGTGTCCCTGCCAGAAAGTGTTCAGCTAAATGAGGGACTTCAAATCAAGAGCTAAACACTTCGTAAGGATGCATGCGAATCGGAAATATCTTAATCAAATTCGATATTGGAAGATTAATTAAGCAAACGCTATATCAGATATCTTCCTAATAACTGGTTTCGTTACAGGAAAAACTGAATAATATGCATATATTTAGTAGCATTTTGAATAATTACTATGAATTTTAGTAAATTATCCTTTTACAACCTTGAAGCCCACGAGTCGATAAGCAAGGGAGAATGTGGACCAAGGCGTACAAAACGTTGAGAACCCCTAGATTAACTTTTCCCCCTTGCTGTACTTTTCCAATTAATTAACTCCTATGCCGATAATAGGCCGAGTGTTATCCTATTGTGTGCGGCTAAAAGGATCACCAGTTTCAACACGGAACCGAAGGATAACAATTTCAGACTGCAGAACGGAAGCTTTTCTATTCTGTCTCGTCCAAGAAAGATCCCGATGTAAACAAAGAGGAGTGACAGTGACCTTCTGGTCACCGCACGAATGGAGGAAGATCGCTGCGCGTGTGTCAACCTCGTGCACATAAGCAAGAAATAGTACCGTTATCTAATAATAATTTCTTTATTGAAATATTTTCCACGGGAATGTACAGAAAATTTCATTACGTTTGGTACATTTTTATGAATTTAGTAGTCCCTCTCGCGAATTAATTTTAAGCAGTCTGGGCCAAACACAAGGTATCAGTTGACAGTGTTGCGAAACCTTGCGTTTCTCTCTACCAATAACGTGGTGTGGTAGGAGGCGAATTCTTCATATCTCTGTTTATTTCAGGATTGTTTCTGCAAGGGACAAAGTTGTGCAAGTTTTCCACTGACAAGGGTGTTTCCTTATACTACCTGAATTAATTATAAGTAGTCTGGTGTAATTACAAGGGGCGTGACTGCGTCGGAACGATTTAATTTGACGAACTTATTTATTCCAATGACCAACATAGGAACTCTGAACTGTTCTGATGTGATGGATAAGGTGCATGCCAGAAGTTTTTATTGAAATTCACGTAGCTTCAAGCTGCGTTCTACAGCTCAATGGGATTTAATGTTATCACAGCTTTAAAAACTCGGATTGAGAACTCACCGGTTATGACGCGATACGTTCCATGGCAATGTGTGGCAACTGGCAATGTTGGCAACAACCCGAAGACCGCAATATGTACCTATGATATAACATTTACTAACTCTGCATTCTGCTCACGGAGTGTCAGTATACTTTTCAGGATAACGGCTGTTATATCCGTAAGCATAATTAACTCATTGATCTTTGCACTGAGAACGTACTGTACTTGTGTGACTGTCATACCATATAAATGGTGCTTTAGCTTTTAATAACCTCGATTTTCTTCGACGATAGTTTTGATATTCTCTTTAATAGTTTCCGAAGCACTTTAGTGCATACATTATATAATCTTGTAAATTAAAACTATTATCATATCCTCCTAAGCAGAAATTCGGATTCTGGACCATACTTGCTGCTCTGTAGGAACACAAGTCAGCAGCCAAACATCACAGAGTAGTGGTTAAAATACCTGCTGGGTTTTTTTATATATCTGATTGATACTTGGCCAGAGAACTGTCCTGCCTAAGGTTTCCTTTGGTTTTACATAGCCCTTCAAGTGTTTGAATAATATCTTTTGTGCCTTGAAATACCTTGAAATATGGCATGACTGACGTCTCATAACCTCTACAGGTGACAGGTCATTGTTAGAAAGCCATGAGCCCTAACAGTGTTCTATGGCTTGTTACAGGTCTCTGCAGACCAGACAGTAAAGAAGATGCAGATTACTATTATTCCAACGATGATGACAGGGATTATGATGAAGATGAGCAGGACGACTCTTATACTGGATCGCCGCCTGTAATGAAGAGCAAGCCTCTTACCTTTGAGGTGCATCCAGGCGGAACTGTGGCTCTGCCCTGTGCGAC